GTACCCGGATCAAATTACCCAACCTCTTTGTTTCCCAAACTGGACAATGTGTCAGATTGGAAGAATAGTATCTTCTCGCCCAGGGTTGCTGGGAAGGTTAAATGAGATACAAGACTTGCAATTCTTGCTTTAAAAGTGGGAAACGACTGAGTCTGTTTCCTCCGTTTTCACTTGCACACCCCCCTCCCTTGGGTGATTTCCAGGTAAAGACGCGTCCGGGACAGAAGAAATTAGCGATGTAATGACGGTAACAGCGGTGATAGTCTAATAACCATTCTCACTCAGTGAGCGCCTTCTGTTTGCAGGGTAAGCGTGCCCGAGACCGTGCCTTCCTCAGTGACCGCGCACTGTATCAGACGCGCTCCCCTAACCTGTGTAGCCGGGATATGGAACTGCCTCCAGGCTGCTGAGCGAACTGACGGGAAGAAAATGGGAAGGCATAGTGGGAGAGCTGCAGAGGACTCAGAAGGCAGGATGGGTGCCCTCAGGGCCATTCCTCTGCAATGGAAAAACCAAAAGAAGTGGGGAAGAAGTGAGAAAGAAAGGTGTGGGTAGCTAAAACTGTTGTTTCAGACCATGCACCTCAGGGCGCCTCCCTCTAACTCCCGCCAGGAGCCGCTCATGGTCTCTAACCCAGAACCCCGCAGCACGTAGTAGGCGCTCAAATGGTGTATGCATGTGTTGATGGATGACACCGAGGCTTTGGGTGGCCCCTGTGCGCCGACACATCTCCCTTGGCTCCTGAACAATGAGAATGAGGATGGCATCTTTGCGCCTCTTTCTTTTTTAATCTTACGGGCCCATTCGTTTTTTTAATAATAAAAAAACAAAACTGCCTTTCATTTCATTTTGGGTCATGGAGGAGGCTGGAGTCCACTGTCTCTGGAGCAGCCTGGTTGCCGGATAGCTAACGTCACACACCTTACCGGCACCACATCCACATCGCCTACCCTGATTGCCCCCGAACCCAGCCAGCGTGGCCCAGCTCCTCTTAAAATTCCAAGTGGAAGCTTGCACCAGCGCAGGATGAAAGGAAGAGCCCGGCACAGGGAGTGGAGAGGAGGAAACAAACAAACAAACAAAAATGGGAAGGGGTAGGGATGCCCAAAGCGAGGAGGAGGACTAGGGAGAATGGAGAGCGAAGGAAGTGGGAACATTTACATTACAGTCGACATTCGATTTTAAAATTGTGTGCCACAGAAAAGTCTTTAGTTTGACTCTTTTCTAGTTTTTTTGCCCATTTGTTCAACCACAAAACTGTCCTCTCAGGAAGAGAAGTCAATAGAGGAGGTAGGGAACTTGCGGGCCATGAGAACAAAGGGATTTGGCTCAGGTCGCTGCAGAGGATCCAAGGCAGCCTTAAGGGACGATTTTCTGGGCGCTGCCCACCCGTGCGGGGCTGATGTCGGACCAACCCCGGCCAGGTCGCGGCCTGAGGGCCCTCGCTGACCTTGGACTGGGCGCTGAGCGGGCGGGTTGGGGATCTGAGAAGAGAGAGGACTTAGGACTGTTCACCACCCAAACGAGTAGTGAACGGGGCGCGGAGCAGGCTCCCCCCCTAAAAGCTTGAGGCTCAAGCGCGTCTGCGCAGGGAGCAGGGAGAGCCGGGCCGCACCGAATCTTGGGACACTTCTTTGGAGGGCATGCGAGGCCTGTGATTCTCTCCATAGAAGGATCCAGAAAATGGCCAGATGATTAACCGATGCCTGTGGGGATTGCGAGATAAGGAATCCTATTCAGTTATAAATTCATTCGTTCGTTTGTTCATTCATTGGCTCATTTCTTGAGCTCGCATCGCGTGCTGGGATGTGCGGGGTGCACTCTTTACCCCATTCCGACAAACAAAAATAAACAGCCCTGACAAATCAAAGCGAGGCTGAAATTTGCGGACCCTGAAATCGCCAGAGGCGAGTAGGGGGTGAGGGCAGCTCGGGAACTCCGGGAAACTAACCGAGGCTTTCGTGCAGCAGAGGGAGCAGGGAAGATGCACATTCACTGCAGCAAGCTCCCCGGCGCTTCGCTGTGCGGAGAGACACTCGCGCTGATGTTCACGCCCGGAGGCGGCCACCCCGGGAAGCACACAAAGTTTCTGCCTTCCGCCCTGGTCCTTACGTTGACTGCTAGCGAGATGACTGTGGACGAGTCCCTCCATACACAAAATGAGGCCAGCGATGCCAGTCTGCGCGCGACGGTCTACATACAGATGAACGTGTGCGAACGAGTGCGGCCGTCATCTGTATGGAGCGCTGCTTGGGAACTCATTTTCTTGCTGAGCAATGGACTTAGTATCGGGGACCCCTGTGTATCCTCATCCAGATGATTTGGGACTTCCAAGTCTGCTCCCCCCGGGGTCACCACTCAGTAGCTCCCGTGCCTTGTTGCTCAGCTTCTTGCTGTGTTTACAATGCTAACAACCGTACCACATTGTTCCTGAAGATTCACTGGGACTATAAATAACCACAAGGACCACAATAATGTGTCACTCATTTATTCAATAAACACTTCTTGAGGCGTCTTCCCTGTACCAAGCGCCGTGCTAGGTGCTAGAATTACTCCCCCGTGAAGCAGAGCCCAACCCTGCCCTCAAGAAGCAGAGGGTGCTTTTTCCCAGCTAAATGGACAGGTGATATCCTGTTTCCGTTTTGAAGTCTCTCCCTCTATGCGATTAGTTATGAACTTAATAAAACTCCCAAAATGCCATTTGTCCTGACGTGATCTCACCAGCGGGCACATATTTTTCCCTCCTTGGACCCCAGATACTTGCTTAAGTTACCCTCAAATAGGAAGTATCAGAAAACTCTAGCTCCTCCGCCTTCCAAGTCCCAAGGAAAACTCCCAACCTTATCTACAAGCATTGTCTGAACACCTGCTGTGTGCACAGAGTGCTAGGTGCAGTGCCTAGAGGACAGAGAGGAAGGAGTGCCACTGGGCTTCTCATGGACTCAGTGGGTCTGAGCTCAACCTCTGTGGACACCCCTATCCAAACACTCCGGTCTATTCTTTAAAAGGTTTCTCTGGGGGACATTGTGACTGCCCTGAATTCTAATGAGCCTCCATCTAAGGACTTAATTTCTGGGAGAGTAAGGATTTTCTGGCACTTTTTTCAACTGTGCAAGTACTAATAAGGTAATAAATACCGCAATTAATAAATGAAGAGAGGAGGAATAGTAAGTGCATGGTGCTGATTGTATGCCACCCACTTTCTCATTTCACACTTTATAATGCAATTAATTCTCACAGCAGTTTCTAAAAATCAAAGTTAGGTGACTTTGATTATTTCCTATTGTAGAGATTAAGAAACTGAAGCCAAATGGTTATATTTCCCAAGGTCTCACATTTAGTAATTGGTGAATGAATGGATGTTTCTTGGGCTCCTTTGCGTTGAGGTCAGCCATGCTCCTGACGCCTTCAACTCCAAGCTCTACCTGCCGCCTTCTTCTCATACCCAGCCCCCAGAGTCACTGGAGCCACCAAAGCCTTGAGCTCTGGGCATGGGTCAGGTGATGTAGCTGCTGTCACCTCCATGGCCTTCTATTCCAGGTCTGTCACCCACGGAGGACAGTGCACGAAGGGGAGCCTCAGTATCTGCCGGATGGGACCAGGTCCAAGGGCAGGAGGAGAGAGAAGGAGCTGGTGCAGCAGATGCCCGACAAAAATGATAAGGCCTCGAACCCCTTGTGTTGCCCAGAATCCCATGTGTCAGCAACCGCTGACGGGATTGGAAAAACACCAAGGATGATGCCTTCTCCCATGAGCAGGCTGTGGTCCCTACCTTAGACATATTAGCAAAACTAATAGTGGCACAAGCTGAAGGGTGGGATATCAATCAGGGAGAGGCCCAGGTCTGAGACTCCTGGAGCGAGTGGGCCAAGTGGAGCTCCCAGTCTCCCCGCACCCCCCCACACACACACGTCTCAGCGCCTCTTACGCCCCTTCTGAAAAGCCATTGAGTTGTAACAATCCAGATCAGAATCTGGTTGGTCAAGTGTGTCCCAGAGGACCCCTCTCCTTTTGCAACTCAGGAAGCACTAACCCCACAGCCTTATCTGAGTCCTGGCATCACCCTCCAGGGACGTTGGCAAGTGTGAAGAACCCAGCCTCTGTTACCCCATCCTTAAAATGAGGAAGTCGGAAGTAATCACATCTGTGAGGACATCTATGCTTGTTCATAAAATGACAGAAGGCAGAACATCTAAGGGACCCAAGGGCCAGCAATTCTCTGAGCTCACCTGTCAGAGGCGCAAAGCCTGTGCCTGTTAGAACCTGGGTGGGGGAAGGGGAGGGAATAAGCTAGAAAGTGCACTCCGCCCTGTGTAGCAGTCCGGAAGTCCAAAGAGCGGCTACAGGGGTGGTGCCCGATGCAAGTTTTAATACCCGCATGCGTGGGGAGCACCGGCGGAAAAGGCCATTCATTGGTCTTTAGGACCAAGCCAATCCCCTCACAACCTCAAAGGGAAGACTGTGAGCCAGATGCGTGCGCGAGCACAATTAAGACGGGCTGTATCTCCCCTAGCCCGAATACCTGCAGTTAAAGTCCTCCGAAACCCAATCGTTGGGTCTTCACAAAGATCATGGAGTGTGCAGCCTCCTCCCCAAAGACTAAAGAAGGGGGAATGCGAGGGCCCTGCGTGTTTAGGGTTCTCTCCACCCTCTTTAAAGTAGTGTCACCGCGTCCTATGGGGAGGGCCGAGTTCTCAGTCCTTCAACCAGCTCTTCCTTCTCAAAGGAGGACGAAGGTGGAGGAGAACCGCGGGCAACTGGGAGGAGGGTGCATCGACCTCAGCCTCCCACCTCTCTTCCCATTTCTTGCTCCAGAGCCGCCCCAGCACCCCCACCACCACCCTGCCCCGCATACCGGGGGTCTGTTTGAGGTCGGCACGGGCTTGAGGGGAAGCGGGGTGTGATGCGGGGATAGATTCAAACTCAATAGGTTAAAGCCACAAGGGTTAAAGCTCAAGTCTGAAACGGCCCCATAATACCCTCCCCCGCCCCCCCGCAGGTTCTGGTTCCTGCCCTGCCCTGGGGACCCTTAAGTTCCCTGAGACTGCGACCGACCGCAAGGAAATCTGGGGTCACCTTCCAGTTAGGTTGACTTCCAGTACCTAGAACAGGAGGGATCAGCGAGCTGGGCACTCAGAGCTCACCTGCTCGGCGCTGGCCTCAAACCAGAACCCCCGCCAACACCCCACTTCAGTCCCCAGCTAGAGGGAGCAGCCACAGGAAAGATCCCAAAGCCACTGGTCCTCTCTGAGGTGCGGAAGGAGTGAGAGGGATTGATGATAACCGGAGTCCGAGCAAGCCCCCCCAACACACACACACGGTACCCACGAGTCCTTGCGGGGTAGTGGGGTGAGAACAGAAGGTGATCTCCTTGGCTGGTCTGCGGGCCAGAGCCTCCATTGGAGACAAGACTGCGCCTTGAAGTGCCACGGGGCCGGACAGCTTTGGCCCCAGGTTGGGGGCGGGGGGCAGGGCAGCGACGGCCACGCGCTCCCAGCAACTCCGGGCCTCCGGGTCCCCGCCCGCTCTGGACTGCGGCAGGCGAATGGAGCGACGCCGGCTTTCAGCGCTTTGGCCGGCGAGGCTTAGCGCAAGGAAACTTTTGTTTCAGACCAGCGCCCCACCCACCCACCGTGGCAGAAGAAGGCGGCGTGAGGCTCCTCACTCGGCTTTGCCGTCTGGGGAAGAGAGAACGTTATTTGTGTGGTTTTGCTCGGAAGAGGCTGAAATGGCCAGTACCTGGGCTCCCCTGTGTGCGTCTGGGTCTGCGTTGCTGTGCGCCTCTGCGAACATGTGGATGTGTGACCTACGCGTGTAATTGTGGTGTGCGCGCGCGTGCCCCCGAAGGGGTATTAGAGCCCCTCCAGTCCCAGCGAGACCCGCGGCCGCCACCCCTCCGCACGCCGGTAACCTAGCTGCGAGGGCTCGGCGCCGCGGGGACCGCTGCGGCTGGGAGGCAGAACCCGACTCGGGCAGAGTTCTCGCTGCTTTTCGGGAAGGACGAGTCTTGGGCCGCACGCGGCTGGAAGCGGGGGTGGCGGCTCGGCTCGGCTCCGGGGCCCGCGCGCATCCGCCGCCGCCTCCAAGCCCCAGCCGGGAGGGCCTCGGCGGGCCTGGCGTGTGCGGATCTAGCGCGCTCGGCCTTCTCTTGGGCGCCTTAGAAATCTCGGTCTTCGTTCAAGAATTTCTAGCTTCCCTGGCGGCTCTTGCAAGCATCGAGCGCCACCGGGAAAATTCCCGATCCCTGGGCCAAGCGAGCGGCCCCAGGATGAGTCGACCCGGCCCGAAATGTGGTTTTTGCTCCCCGCCACCAGGCCGGCCTAGAGAGGACTCTTCGTCCTGCGACTGTTCCGCTTCCAAATGAACTTTAAACTTCTCCTGGACTTGAGATACCCCGTTCTTGATGAAAACGTGGAAGAACTCCACCGCCCAGGCTAAAGCCCCGCTAGAGTTTCACGGGGGAAATGTTCAAGAAGAAGAGGTGGAGGGTGTTGGAGGAAGGGGCGCCTCCTGCGAACCCTCCAGAAGCAGCCCCAGTGCCACCCCCAGGTGCCCGCTGCCCAGCTCATTTCCCTCCCGGTACCCCAGCTTTGCTGCGCCCTCTGGTCTAGCGGATCCTGGCCTTGATAAGGCCGAACTGTACCTGAAATCGTATCATTACGGTCACTGGGCGATTATTTCCTTTACTTTTTAAACCCGGGCCCCAGGAAGAGAAATGCGAGGGGGGACTGGGGCAGCGGGCACCTCGAGAGCCTTATGAGAGGCAGAGTAGCTGCGAGCCTAAAGCACCAACTCCTCCCCAGCTGAGCTCCTCTACTAGATATATATGCTGCCACGTTATGCTCCTGAACGCCAGCACCGGATTTAAGTGCCTCAAAATTCCATGTCCTTGGGATGTCCCAGTTACAGAATTTCAATATTTCAGGGGTCAGAGGAAACTAAACTCGATAGTGAAGGCAAAACTGAGGTACAGGGAGAATCCTGCCATTTGGGCAGCGGAGCCTGCGGAATGGTGGGGGAATCACTCCCACCCAGGGCTAGAACCCAAGCAGGTGGGGAAGCTGCTGTGCCAGGAAACTCTGGGCACATTTAAAGATAATGGCTGGCTCACATTCCCATTAAACTTGAGGTCCCTCCTAGGGCCCTCTACCTCTCTCTTCTCATTCCTGTACTGGACCACCCTGGTCGCTCCCACTCCCCTCCCCACTATGCACATTCCTCTAGGAGTTCAGCTCCTTTTGGAGGCTGGGAGGTTGACTGGGGCAGGGAATGGTCAGCTTTGCACCCCTGTGCTGCGCTAGGCCAGCAAAGGCTAAATCTGGGGTCCCCACTCTAAAACGGTGGTCTTTTAATGTGCTCAAGTCAATGAGTCAAAATGGGGAAGATGCTAAGCCAGATCAGGGAGCTGCTCAGAGCCCCCTCACTCCAGCCGGGGGACTGGGATGTGTCCTGGGCTAGCTGACCTGAGCATCTCTGGGGGAGCACCACTCTCTACAGAGCATCCTATTCTTGACATGGGTGGTGGGCCTGTAAGAAGGAGCTTCGTGCCCTGGCCAGAGTTTAGTGCCAAACAGCCCCGCATGGTCAGGTTTGTCAGCAGTCTGTTTTTGAATCTCCCAAAAGAGATTTATATACAAACTCTGGACATTTCATTTTGAGGAAAGGAGAGCCAAGGTCTTGGAGAGAGGTTTGACTCTTCAGCCTTTCAAAAACAAAAACAAAACAAAACAAAAAACTTTAAAGGCCCATCCCAGTTGCAGCGTGGAGGCAAAACAGGTATTTCAGCTGCAGCCTCTCAACTTGCAGGTGGGGGGCTGCAGAGGGACTCACTGGGCGCCTGCAGGGCCTAACTGCAAGGAAGATTATGTGTGCGTGGATGGGGTTGAGATGCAGTTTTGTAGACCCGTCACTGGCCAAATGAGAGCCAGGAGGTCTGACCTCTGGTTTGGGCTATTGCCTGGGTGTGACTTTGAACAAGTCACCTCCCTGCCCCGTGGTTGTTTGGGCACCTTTAAAACTTTCTCAGGCTCAGCCTTTTCAACCCTAACCACTGTGATTTGTCTATCTTTTCCGCCAGGATGCTACCTCCTCCCTTTAGCCATCCTGGAGCAAGGGGCGGCTTGTGTTAGAATTGCCGCAAAGCTCCACTACAGACTTGGAGTGCCCACCTTGTAAGTACCGACTGTGGCTAAATTCACCCACGGCATCACCATCTTGTCCACTCCAACTCTGGATACTCGCCAGCAAAGAAAAGGCCACGGGCCCACTCCCAGTGTCCTGACTCAGGGTGGAGAGGCCTTCTGCCCCAGGGGCCTAACAGATTCTGTGGCCACCATGGCCCTCTGGCCACACTCAGAGTCGTGGAGCACCAGTTCAGTGGTGGGGGAGCGCAGGCTATGGCCAAGGAAGCCTCTGAGCTCTAAGCCCGACGCCAGTCCCTGCAGCGAGGGGGCTCCGAGATTGCGGCGCTCCCCCGTCCAAAAGCACTTGTCCCCCACCTCCAGCTGCTGTGACCTACAGTGCCCCGAGGCTGAGGTCCGGGTGGGAGATCCCCGATCTTAACGACCACACCGCCCCAGCTAGCCAAGCGGCCTTTACAAACCGTAGTAAACATTTTATTTACAAGTTTGTGGCGTCCTAAGTGCAGCTTGTCTTTGCGCCACGACCCCGAGTGCGGGGAGCAACTGTTGCGTCCAACACTTCACAGTGTGAACTGCTCGCGGCCCGGGAGAAGTGTTTGGCCGGCGCGGGGTCCTCGGGCGGGGGCACTGAGCTCGCCCCCCGCCCCGGGCTCTGGGCACCAGCGCGGCAGCGACGGGCAGGCGGGACCGTGGGCAAGGCCGCCGCGGCGTCTCGGGCCCCGGCCCCGCTGCCAACACAAAGCAGGCGCAAAATCCAGCCCCCCCTGGGAGGCTGGGGGCGGCACGCGGGCCCCGGGGCCCCGGCCTCATGCAGTCTACAGGGCGCCCAGCGGTGCCTGGGCGGGCTCGGGGCTCTGCGGAGCGCCGCTGAGGGTGGGCTGGGGCGCCGGCAGCAGCTCCGAGGCGCCGCCGCCCCCACTCCCCGTGCCGCCGCCGCCGCCGAGGCTGGCGAAGCTGAAACTGCCGCCGCCGCCGCTTCCCGCGCTCCCGCCGCCGCTGGCCGGGAGGAGGGCGCCCGCGGCCGAGGCCTTGATGACCGTGGTCTGGTGCAGAGACCGCTCGGCCCCCTCAGTCCGCTCCGTGTCGCTGGGGGCCATGTCCAGAGACTCGGAGTCGCTGCTCTCGCTCTCGGCCTCGCCCTCCGAGCGGCTGAGGCTCCGCTCCTCCTGCTCGCCGTCGGCAGCCGCACCTCCGCCCGACGACTTCTCGCCCGCCTCCTTGTCCTTGTCCTTCTGGGCCTGGGCCTCCTTGGAGTGCCGCCACTTCATCCGCCGGTTCTGGAACCACACCTTCACCTGCGCCGCAGCACGCGGGGAGACAAGAAGGGACACCGAGATGAGACGTGGGCTCTCGGCGCTCGACTCGCGGGCAGCCTGGAGCCCCGGCCCCCCGCGCCTCTACCACGGACCGGGCACTGGGCTCGGCTCAGGGGCCGAGGGGCAGCCCCGGGAAACAAAGACATCGCCGGAGACGCTCGCCTACGGAACCCGCGAGGACTGTTTCTCAAAATGTGGCCCTCCAGACCTGGTCCTGAAATGACCTGGATGCTTGTTGAAAGGCGGAGTCCTGCACCTCGGCCTCAAACTAAGGGCGATTTCTGCTCTAAATCGATGCTTCTTAACCCCACTTGAGCCAGGCTCTCCAAGAATCTGATTAAATTATGGACCCCTGGCCCAGAAAAAAATATACCCAGGATTTCAAGGGTTTGGTGAACCAATGTGAAGAATTCCTGCTAAGCTGGTCCTCTCCTCGACTGCCACCACCCAAGGCAAGTTTCGACAAAAGCAGTTCTTCTTAAGGAGAAACCGTGGGAAGCACAGAGGGGAAAGAGGGTTCAAAGAGTTAATCCCAGTGGGGTGGGGGCACTGCTGGACCTTCAGCTGAAGAGCATTTCCTTGGCATGTGTGTACTCAGAAGCTGATAAGGACTCTGCCCCTGCCCGGGATAAACTAATCCTTCTGCAGGCTTAGAAAATGCTGGAATTAAACCTGTGCAAAGTGGAGGAAGGGGGTAGGGATGGGGTGGAGAATCTATATAAATATATACAATCCCCTGGGGGACCCAATGCTGTTCACACAAGTTCCAGCTTCCCTTTTAAAAATAACATCCACAGCTGGTGGAAAACGGCTGGGCTCTTCCAGTGTGTTGGGGAGGGGAGTTGTGTAATGGAGGACAGAAAGAAAAGGGGGGGTGAGGGGGGCCCTAAAGGAGCTATGAAAAGGTGCCTGCCTTTGACTTCTGCCCTACTCAGAACATTGAGCACCCAGGGAGCAAAGGCCCCGCTGCTGTGGGGTATGGAAGAACCGTAACTCTTCTATTTCCAAAACCCCCCAAAAAGTCCAGTTCTTGAATTGGAGAAAAGAAAAAAAAAAAAATTGGACTCAGAAATTGAATTCAAACACGATAGATTCGCCATTGTCTTGGAAAAACAAAAAACCCCAAGTAGGCAGAACCTGCTGAAATGCTCTTGGGTATTCTAAGAAAATCTTTTTTCCTTTCTCTCTCTCACTCCCCCCCCCCCCCCAGAGATTTTCTTAGGAGCTTCTTCCGTTAGAAAATCGGACTGACTGGCTGCTAAGGAGTGCACTCCTCACCCTGCTAGGGCTAAGTCATTCCGTTTGAAATGATGTTTTCACTTCCTCACAAATGGGGATTTCACAATCCAGCGGCAGCAGAAGGAGGAGGAGGGAGGAAGGACGGGAGGAGGGGGGGGAAAAAACCCAACAACAATCTCTTGACTTTGGATTTTTATCTCTTCTGAAATAAACTGCCTCCTACAGCGAACTGCACTAGAGTCGAGTACATAATTATTATCTCCTGCGGCCTATTTGCTTTCTCCGCGGTTCTTTCGCCTGTTGGCCAAAATAAACATGCAGTGCTTGTTGACATACATCTTTGGGGATGGGCTATTCTTTCCGTCCTTCTCTCCCCCCCACCCCACCCCCACCCCCAGACTCAAGTTTCGACGCCTACATTGTCTCTTGAAATTCAAGACCTTGCGTCTCCGAGGCAAAGGCCGAGTGGGCCGGGGTGGAGGGCGGCCTGGGGCTAGGCCGCAATGCTGCCCCCCACCCCGCGAGGGAGCTGCGCGCGGGAGCCAGAGCCGGCTTACCTGCGCGTCCGTGAGGCCTAGCATCGCGGCCAGTTGCTTTCGGTCGGGCTTGGTCACGTACTTCTGAATCTCAAACCTCTTCTCCAGGCCTTTCCTCTGCAGGTTGGAGAAGACCGCCCGCGACCAGGAGCGCTTCCTCTTGTAGGTCTGTGGCATGGTGTCCTTCGTGAGCACGGCGTAGGGACCTGCCACCGGGCGGGAGCGGGAGCGAGAGAAAGACAGGAGGGCCGAGTCAGTGCCCCCCGGTCCGTGGGCTGCGCGCCCGGGACTCACCGTGCTGCTTCTAAGTGTTTTGCGTTAAACAGTCGAGCCCCCATTCAGAAAGTCCTTCACGCAGACGCGGAATGGCCTCCCTACCGCTACAGCTCTTAAGACTTCAGGCTTAAGGCCTAAAGCGAGGGTGGCCGTGGAGAAGTCCCGCGCTTCGTCGATTAATTCCAAAGAAAAAACATAAACCTAACGCGTGGCCTTTGGGGCATGCGAAGAGTAGGCGACACTGTCCCTTGGGCCTGAAGGATGGAGAGATGACAGCTTTGACTCTCGTGTGTGTACGTGTGTGTACGTGTGTGTATGAACACGTTCTTGCAAACGTGGGAGCAAACGGAACCCCCTTGAGCAAAGTGTTTGAGGTCATTCCTAACTCTGTGTTGTGTTAAAAAAGCAACACCTCTTGCTGTATTTTCAAGCCACTCTCCGGAGAAAACACTAGGGAAAGCCCCTTCACCCCACCTCGCCCCGCCCGCCCACGCACACACTTTCTCGGCACCCCCAGGTCCCCCACCGCTCCCACCCCCGCCCCCCGGGAGCCAACAAAAGAGTGAGCTAGCTATCTGAGAACTCTTTCGGTTTCTGTCTCCGGACTTGGTAGCCTCCTTCACCAACTCCGGGATTGTTGCACCGCGGTGGCCACGTGAGCCGTCCTCAGTTTGGGGCCAGTCGACCTGCCCCGTTAGGCCGTCGCTCGGGAGGGTTTCCGTACCTGGAAACGTGTCTTGAAACTGATGCTGAACTGAATTCCTCGGGTTCGAGCTTAAGGGGCTCAGGATGGCAGAAGCCTCGTTAATGGGATCTAGAGACGCGAAGAACTGGCCGGCGGAGGGCTGCAGGCCGGGGAGGTGCACCCCTGCGGGCCGCCCGCTGGTTAGCAGGGACGTGAGGTCTGGAGGCGAGAGAAAAGAGCTGGTTACACCTCGGGCAAAGCCACACTCTCTCGGACTGAGTTGTTCCTCCCCTCCCCCTCGATTCGGTTTTCCTGGAGCGAAGTCACGAGAGACACTTGTCTCCGCGCCAAAACCCCACTCTCCCGACAGTGGCCAAGGGGCGATGCGCAAAATGTTCCTGCGTGTAGCCCACAGGTCCACGTCTACACATACAGCAAGGAAGGGCTTTATATAAAATGGCCAAAAGGAAGTCACTTCCAGGTGCTTGGCTAGAATTCCACAGACCTACCCCCTCCCCAGTGAAGGAGCCCCAACTCCGCTTTCTCTTGGGAGCCGGGGGTCTATTTTGTTTACCTACATTCCTTGAGTGGAATTTCACTAGAAATCAGAAAAATGGAAGGGAAAGTGTTCCCCAAAAGGGCTTTCCCTGTCAAATTAATATAGTTCTCCCTCTAGATACATGATTCAAGAGACAGATGATAGTCATTTCAGCAAATATTTACACCAACGATTTTTATGAATAATGATTCTGTGACGTGTGTTTTTCAAGCATCCCTGGAATCTTTTTTTTTTTTTTTTAACGCAGAGCAGGTGAGTTTTAAACCTAACGTTTCACAGCCTTCTTACAATTCACTCTCTTCTCCCTCATTTTACCGGTTTGTCCTTAATTGTGCAAATACTCAAAGGCATCCCAAATGGCCCCGGGACCGGGGAGTGCGCCAGGGCCGTGGCCAGAGGCCTGCAGCCTCTCGCCCAAGACCTACCTCTCAGCGTGTTGCCTTCCTTGACTTTGGGGTCAAATTCTGCAGACAAAATGCGGTCAATTCCAAATTTGAGGTCCTTGCTAGAGGGGGCCGGGGCCGAGCCGCTATGCGAGGGGTTCGGGACCACCCGCGCCCCGGAGACAGGGGGCTGCACGGCGCCAGCCCGGGGCGCAGGCGGAGGCTGTGGCTGCTGCGGAGGCTGTTGCGGCTGCTGTGGCTGTGGGTGATGGTGGTGGTAGGCGGCTGAGAGCGGAGACAGCCGCTGCGGGAAGCCAGCCGGGACTTCGGAGGGCGCCACCACCGGGGTGGGTCGAAGCGGGGATCTGGCGGCAGCTTGGAAAGAGGCGTGCGGGTGAGCCGAGCCCAAGTGAGCGGTGAGGGCGGCGGCCGAGGCCCCCGCCAGACCCTCCGCGGTCGCCCCCGGCTCCCCCACGCCGGCGTGCAGGATGTCTGCGATGCAGAAGGAGGGTTTCTTGACCGCGGCGGGGTCCAAGGGGAAGGAGCAGCCGCCCGGACCCGCCGAGGAGCAGTAGGCGGCCGACCAGAGGCTGAAGTTGGAGGCGTAGAAGGGCGCCAGCCCGGCGGCGAACATTCTGGCTGGGTGAGCCGAGCTGCCGCCGCGGCCCGGCCGGGCCCGGCCCAGTGGGTGGGTGGGTGCGCGGGGAGGAGCGCGCTGAGTCCCGGAGGCAGCGGCAGCCCAGCCGAGGACGATCCGCTTTCGCTTCTCCGTCCGCACTGAAGACAGGCCAGGGAGCCCTAGCGCCACCGAGGGAAGAGGCGAGGCCCGGATCCCGGCCGGGCACAGTCTCGGCCCCTGGCCTCACTTTAAAGGCGGCGCGGCGCCCGCGCTCCCCGCGGGCTGGAGGCGAGCGAGGGGCGCTGGAGCTGCTGGGCGGGCGGGGGCCGCGGCTCCGCACACGCCAGGGAAGCCGGGGAGACAGGGGCTGGGCACCAAAAGAAAACCCAAACAGCTAAGCCCTAAGAGCTAAATTTAAAACAACAACAATAATAATCCGTTAGTTAAAAAAAAAAAAAAAAGTAATAGGAGGGAAAAAAAAAAAAAAAAAAAACTCCTCTCTAAAAACTCCCAAACTTTTGGCAGGAGCTTCGGAGTCAGACCCAGGGTAGGACCTCGATCCGAGTGCTCATTGGCCAGCCTCATGACCAATGGGAGCGGGGAGTAGAGGGGAATTGGGAAAGAGGGGCGTGGCCCACCGCCTCGGCCACGCCCCGGCCACGCCAAAGTGTTTGCTGCTGCCGCGTGGGCTGAGCGGGGTCCCCTGCGCAGGGGCCCGGCGGCGGCTCCAGGGAATTCCGACCCTCCCCTAACTTGTGCAGCTCCAAACCGACATCGGACGTAGAGAGTTGGTCCCAGCGCCAGCGCTTGCCCAGAGAAGCGGGTGCTTCTGTGTATTTTCACGGGTGCAAAGCCCGCCTCCTGGAACACGGGGGCGGCCCCCTGGATTCCCTCCTCCTGACCTCACTCGGGCCTGATTTTTCTTCACTCGGCCTTTATCCCGAATGTCGGTGTCCTCATCCTTCGTGGGCTCCCGCTGCCAAGCTGCTCAGCTCTGAGCTCTGGCTCCAGAAAGCTGGGGTCCGAAGTCCCCGCCCAATTTAGCACCGCGTCCGCGGCGCTGCCTCCGAGATCCTCAGGGAAGAGAGGAGGGGCGGTTCGCAAATTAGCTTTAGTCCAAGCTGTCACCCAGTGACAACTTGGACGAGCAACTTTTCAAACAAAATAAGATGGATGTCTCCGAACGTCTCCCTTGGACGCAGCCAAACCCTCCCCCGAGCCTCAGACGACAACCAAACAGGCCGCCGTCCGAAACCCGGGAAAGCGGCACGCGCGTCCCCTCCGCCGCTGCACCTCGTAGGAAATGTCGCCCTCCCAGCTCCACCACAACCCCAGATCACGTGGGGTCCATTGTTTTGCAAGTGCCCACAAGAGCACATTTCCTTGGGGTTAAATACTACTTTCAATTCAGTGACTGCTTCCCCAGGAACCCCTTGGGCCTGGTCGCAAAAGAAGCTGCAGTGGAGGCCGACGCCTTCCATTCGTGCTTTGGGTCTTTAGAGAGCAGGGTGGGTGTAGTGGGGGTTTTCTGCAACATCAACATCTCTATTTTAAGAATTCCTTCTCTTTTAAATTACAGTCAGAATGGATTTCCCCACCCCTCTCCCAAACAAACCACAGGCCACCCAGATGAGCTCTTCTTGCACATTTTCAGGAAGAAAATAAAATAATAACAATAATGAAACCACGAAATATTTTGTTTTCGATTGCCCTAATAAGCATCTCCTAATTGATCTTCTGTGCTTCTGAGGCATGTCTCCCTCCCCGCAAAAAACTTTTAATACAGTTGCATTAAAGCTTCTGTGACATTTTTTTTTATTTCACTTCAGCACTAAGAGGTCTTACCAAATCAACCCAGAAGGGCAACTGAACTTGCCATGCCTGGGTCAAATTCAAGATTGGGGCTAATTAAATTTATTTCTAGTGGTTTCTAGCCTCTTGTTACAGATGCTGTCATTTTAAGCTTTTGACTTTCTCCTGGAAAGTAATCAATCACTGATCAATCACTTCCGGCCATGCAGCAATGGGACATCCCCTCCTGCCTGTCCCCTGCCCATGCCTCCATCGGCTCTCTGTCTTTCTCTCCCCCTCCCTAGGTCGCTCTTTTACTAAAGGGTTTTCGTGCCTTGCTCCTTGCTGCAAGGACAGAGGTGTTATTTCCGGAGATGGAATGGAGTTGTTGAATCGCCTGAGGACAGGGGCATCTGGGGCAACAGATCCAGGAAGACCAGTCCGGTTTCTAGACAGAGGCAAAGGAGTGACAGGTATAAGGCCGCATGGGGTGTTGGACCCTCCTTGAAGTGCCCCAGTGGAGGTGGGGCCGGGGACTATGGCGAGACTCGGCTGGAAGGACGCGGCCTTCAGAGCCCCCACGGACAGTCACCAGCGCGAGTGTGTGGGGACGGCCATAAACCCCCTTTTCTTCTCTTTTCTAGTGTCACTTCTAATTCCGATTTGACTGCAAACATTTCAACAGCGGCGCCTAAGTTCAAACTCAAGGTTCCAAAGGCGACGTCTTTAGGCCTCACCCCTGCCTCTCGCCCCCAAATAAGCACGTCCCTGGGGAGGTGGGGAGTGGGCGCGGGGTGCAGACTAGGCGGAACGCGGGCCCTCCGGGTGTCCCGAGGCGCCCACGACCCGCATCTGCAGCATTTCAAGGCCGGGGCGGAGACGAGGCCCGGGATCAGGGTTTTCCTGCGGACTCCTAGCCCCGCCGCGCGCTCTTCTGTGTCCCCGAAAGGCCCGCGGCTTGGTTCTAAATTGCAACTTCGCGCGCGCCCCCTGCTCTTCCAGGCCCTCGGCTCCATTGCAACCGCGTCTGCGCCACCCGGGCCTACACCGAGCTCCTGGAGGGAAAAGCAAAAAAGGAAACCTGTGAAGCGACGCCCTGCTTCCCCCGCCGCCCCCCAACACACACCCCTTCCCCGGGATCAGGTCTCGCCGCTGCGGGCCCCTCGCCCTCTTCTGAGCCCGCTGACTCCCCTCCTCCTTACTGCCCACCCCTCAGAACCAAGAAAGCAGCAGGAAACCCCGGGCTCGCCGGAGTTCAGGTCATCTCCTGTTTTTTGATGGGCTCAAACTCGTACTAAATGAGCGGATGTGCCTGCGAGATTGGTCTCAAAATAGAAGCGGCCTTAGTATTTTAGGATACTGCAGAAATCCTTATTTCTTCCGGAGAAAAACTCTATAATGACTCCTAGCACTTCCCCTTTCAATATTTGTGCAACTTTATCTCCACCGACAAGTTGCTCGGGTGACGCAAATCCGCCCTTGTGTATTACAACTACCAAAATAAATGCGCGGAAATCAATTCCCTTCTAGCAATGAAAATATAAATATACAGCTGCGACTTTCCCCTTTAATCTTTGCTTTCCGAGCGGCTCCGAGCTGTGGCGAAATGAACTGGTCCAGAGCAATTGAGACGGGCGGGGAGGCCCTGGGGGCAGAGGCGAGGGCTTCCCGGGGCCTGGTAGCCACGAGGCTCCCGGCTCCGGCAGGAGTGCAGAGGGCCTCACTTAACCCAATTAACTTGAGCTTAAATGTGGCTGTGCTGTCTTTGAGGAAGCTCATCTGTAAAGACAATTTCGTCTGAGGCCGCCAAGCTGTGCTGGCAAATTACAATTGAAAACAGAGAGCAGCAGAGGTAGGGGTTTCTGATCGATTCTCATGGCTGTCTTTAACGCATTCAACTCTCCCCTTCTCTTTTGCTGGGTAGACACAGCCAAAATCTATTTCACCGTACTGGGAATGGACAATGCCAGGTAAGGTCCCTTTTATAATGGAACAATTTTGCTTATGGGGATCTAGGATTGAAAGAAGGGGCCTAAATCAGAGGTTAAGGCATTGACCGGAGCAAGAGACGGGTCCCTTTACCCTTTGGTTGTCCCTGTGTTTATAGAGTCCCCATACTAAAATCCCAGTGCAAATTTTTGTCCTAAACCCGGAGACACAGATACACACCAGTTGAGCATAAAAGCTCAAAGAGAGTGACTGCAGACCTTTGTTTATTGCAGTGATGTAACTCCGCAAGGGCTTAAGATGTCCAGATCTGCTATCTGCTTTTGTTTTTCCTTTTACGTGTTGGGCAAAATAATGTGCAAAGCAGTTGCTTTGTGGACTTGGGACTCCCCCTGCCTTTATTTTGAATATTATTTCAATCACGGTACCTCCTGGTTTCAAAGAAAAAGAAGGAAATAATTAAATATTCACAGTCAGAAAGAAAAGGAAACATAGCTTACCCAGCTGAGGATATGAGAGATTTGCAGTAATGCAGGAATTTGCATATATTCTGCTGTCATTCTGCCAGCTCAAGATTTATAGACTGTGGGGCTCAGCGCTCACATTTAGTGGTGGGTATGGGAACTCTGTTCCTTTTGGTTGCTAGATACTGGAGTTTAGGACTCTAGAGGCTCTACACACACACACACACACACCCTGGATTATTCTAAGCAGGCCCCAACTCCCTTTTCCTGGAAACTTCCGTTCTTCTAGAACTAAATAGAGTTCCAGAGTTTTTCTGAAGATAGTTAGACTTTGATATGGGGAAGGAAAGGCAAGTAACAATGTGATAGGACCACAAGTTCCATAGTCACTGATTTCTTCCTTAGCCTTTTTCGCATTCCCCAGGTGTAGCAGACTGGTAGGTGGCCATCTCTTTATGTGATCATGGCCGTGCCCTTGACCTCCAGCCCACAGATCTGGCTTCAGAGCCTCAGAAAATCTTCTGGGTCTGATCCCATTTGCTCTTTCCTCTCACAGAGTTTCTCACACATGCCCTTCCTTCCATTCCTACGATGTACCACTGCACACATGTGTACCACCCCCCCCACACACACACATATACACAAACTCATGTGCTCACTAGGGGTCTTAGAGACTGGGCAGAAGGGCAAGCAAGCAGTTTGGGGTTTGCTCCTGTTGCAAAGAGCTACTTCTCTGTCTCTCCAAGTCACCTTCCCCTTCACCCCCAGCCAGGAAAGACCTCAGACCTCATAAAACCTAAGAGTAGAACCCATTTCAACATGGCTCACTGCAACATAGACTCACATATATTTGCAGTGAAATCATGTCCCCGTAACAGTAAACTATGAGAGGCCATCTTTAACACATTAAGATTTGGTACTTCATTCAACAGGTTCTGTTTGGTTTCTGAAACAGCGCTTGCCCACTCTCAATGCATTATCCTTGTGGAAGCTGGATTGGTTAGCTGAATTACCGCATCTGAATAGCTGGGGTTCTGTCTCCTGTGAGTGAGCCCAATGTTAAGGTAGGAGAAGGAGGTGTAGGTGAAAAATCATACATTCAAAACAACTCTGGTGTTGAGAGGGAAAGAGGAAATCACTCCCAAAGTTATATTTCTCTAAACAACAAACAAACCTTTCTTTCCTTTGAGACAAGTCTTCCAAGTGATAGCACAGGTCCTAAAGACGGAGAGGGACACGGAATTGTCCAATTCAGGAATGGAAGGGACCCTTGGAAGGGAGAGGATCCTGGAGCCAATGAGAGTTCTGTAGGTAGAGTTGGAGAGTTGTTTCCACCTCTTGGTCCCAATCTGCCCACCTGCAGCCCAGCAGGATTGCACCGGCAGACTCTCGCCAACCCTGTCTCCGCCGGCAGCCCCAACGTCCCCTCCACCCCTCGGTGAGCTGGCGGAGTACCCAAACTTGGTTCTCTGCTGACACCTGCTGGGCCATCTCTACATTGTTGTCTGGCAGTGGCCGTCTTGTGCCAGCAAAGTTGACTCTTCCTTTTGCGAAAACACGGGTTTCTAAAATTGGCTTGGACCCGCAGCTGTTTCCTTCCATATTGCCAGCAATATGGGAAGATCTTGTATTATGTGTTTAAAATAACCGGACCGGGTGAGGGAAGCTGTCACCCTTCAGTACTAATATCTTAATTTTACAGATCTCAAGGCCAGTTCCCATTTATTATCTCACTCGTTCTTTAAAATAACCAGCCGTAAGGATGCAGAGGAGGTATTATTATCCCGATTTGAGTCTAGGATGTTGCCCCTCAGCGAGGTTAAGTGGCTTGCCCGAGGTTACGTAGTTGGGAAATGGTGTTGCAGGGAGCAGACACTACATTCTCTGACTCATCAGCCGGAGCCATACCACTCAGCCAATTTCTTCAGGGGAAACGGTTCATTCAGAGGAAAAACTCTTGCCCTCAAGCAGAATGTGCATTGGCTTCAGGCAGAGGCTGAAGGATAGAACTGGGTTTCACCCAGAGCCTGGCACCGGAACACTGTCGAGCAAGGGCAGATTGGTGACTGCATCATGAATTTGTGACCACGCGTATCAGGAAGACCCTGGGTTCACAATGCTTTTCTCCCCTTCCTCTCAAGGTAGCTGAAATTCGGCTCCTGGAGGATTCCTTCTTTGGAGAGGAGGCATCATACTATGAATTCATGTGTCTGACCATTCTCATGGTGCTAATGCCTGAGGGCAAGGAGCTATTTTGACCGGGAGAAGCCCAGAGGAGCGTGAGATTCAAGCAAGGACACAGGCCTTTGGGGGTGCGCCCAGGGAGCAGCGTGGGAGCATTGGACATGGGCTCCTTGCTGGGCACTAAAAAGGGAGATGGGAGGATGGCATTTCAGTTTCTCTCGGGTCTGTCCTCTGTCTACAAGTGCTTTAAGATTTTATTTATTTATTTATTTGTGTGAGAGAGAATGAGAGAGAGCACATGAGAGGGGGGAGGGTCAGAGGGAGAAGCAGACTCCCTGCCGAGCAGGGAGCCCGATGTGGGGACTCGATCCTGGGACTC